ATTATGTAGGGCACGTTAGTAACAATACTAATGATAACACTTGATACTGGTGTTTATGTAGGATATGTTACTATCAACACTACTGATAAAACTGGGACTGATGTTTATGTAGGGTGTTAGTAGTAATACTACTGATAAAACTGGTACTGCTGTTTATGTACGGCACATTAGTTATAATACTACTGATAACACTGGCACTGATGTTTATGTACAACAAGTTAGTAACAATACTACTGATAACACTGGTACTCATGTTTATGTAGAACATGCTAGTAACAATGATACTGATAACATAGGTACTGGTGTATATGTAAGACATGTTAATAACAATAGTGCTGATAACATAGGAACTGATGATTATGTAGGACATATTAGTAACAACACTACTGATAACACAGACACCGATGTTGATGAATGGCACGTCAGTTACAATACTAGTGATAACACTGGTACTGATGTTTATCTATGACACGTTAGTTACAATACTAATGGTAACACTGACACTGATGTTTATGTAGGATGTTAGTAACAATACTACTGATAACACTGGTACTCATGTTTATGTATGACACATTAGTAACAATACTGATGATAACACAGAGACTGATGTTTATGTATGACACGTTAGTTACAATACTACTTTTAACACTGGTACTGATGTTTATGTAGGAAATATTAGTAAAAATAGTACTGATAATGCTCACCTCACTACTATAAAGGCTTGGTTTGGTCTGATATTTCATTGGTGGTAGTGTCCAGGGTCACTAATGAGGAGTGGAATTCTCCGAAACTGGTCTGGCTCACAGACACACACCCAATGAAAGAATAGACCATTCCAAGCTTTTTACTTGTTGTTAAACAAATTTTTAAACAACTCTATTCAAATATAGAAATGATTGAGATGGTGAAAATTGGAAAATATCTGAGAGCAAGTGATCATTGCTCTATTAGGTTCAATGTTTTGCTGCATATGGAGATAAGGAATAATGGTATTTTGGTTAGAAATTTAAAAAAGCAAATTTTGAAGGGATGTGACAAGAATTAGCTGTTGTGAATTGGGCAGCTGAGTTATTTGGAGACACTGAATAGATGTGGAAATTTTTTAAAGACACATTTTTAAATATTCAAGGTAAAGATATTCCTTATAGAAAAAATGGTAGCTGCAAGTAAAAAACCAAGTGGGCTCATAAAAAGTATAAGAGATAAAATTAAAAAAGCATCATAATTTAAGAAATTTAAATTGGTATGAAACAGGAAATCAAAAAGGTTGGTTGAATATGCAAACATTAAAAGTAAGAATTTCTTTAAATAAGTGTAAACAAAATGTTAGGTTGGGGGGGTAGGAACCTTGAGGGATGATAAAGGAAGGCTAGTATCTGATAATTATGAGATGGCTGAGTTATTAAATTCTACTTTTCTTAAGCTTTTACTAATGAAGATTTAACCAATATTCCACATCTTGAACAGTTGATATATGGAAACAAGGTTGAAAAAGATGACTGCATTAATTTTGAGCTGATTACGAAATAACTGAGAAGTTTAAAAAACAACAGGACTCCTGAGCGAGATAATACTTCCCCAAGGGTTTTGAAAGAGGTTAAAGATTGGATATGTGAGCCACTCGCTACTGTTTTTTCTAAGTCCTTGAATAGTGGGCATGTATCAGTGGATTGGAAGTTAGCTAACGTAACTCCTCTTTTTCAAGAGAAGTGATACAAATTGTCCCAGTATTTACAGACCCATTAGTCTCACATCAGTTGTGGGAAAAGTTTTGGAAAAGTCTGATAGAAGATGCTATGTAAAGTAATTTATCAAAGTTTAAAATTTTATTGGTTAGTCAACATGGTTTCACTAAGGGAAAATCTTGCCTTACAAATCTTTTGAAATTTTTTGTAAATAAAATTCTCTCTATAGGTGTGCAAATTGGATAGAAGAGTGGCTGGATGGAAGAAAGCAGAAGGTTGTTACAAATGGACCTTTGTCTTTTTGATTTGCATCAATGACACAGATGAAAGAATAGTCAATAAATTACTTAAATTTGCAGATGATATTAAGGTCTTGGGTGTTGCTAGCTGTGAAGAAGATGCTGCTGAGTTACAAAAGAATTTAGATCATTTCATGAGTTGAGCAAATAAATGGCAAATGGGTTTTAATTATAACAAATGCATATGGGTTATCATAGTTTGAATTATATGTATAATTTGGATGGGAATAATGTTAACAAGTATCATGAAAAAAAAGGGATCTTGGTGTAATAGTTGATCAGCCATCCAAGCAGTGCACTGTTGCTAATGGTAGGGCAAATAGGATTTTAGGTTTAATCTACAGAACTACTGAATACAAGTCTAAAGAGGTTATACTTTCATTGTATAGGTCACTGATTAGGCCACATTTGGAATATTGTGTTCAGTCTTTGGCTCCTTACCTTAGGAAGTACATTGAATTGTTGTAAAGGGTTACTAGAATGGTGCCTGGAATGGAGGGGTTGTCATACAAGGAGAGGCTGAAATCTTACAAATTGTTTTTTCTTGAAAAAATACGAGTTAAGGGGGAACTGATTGAAGTATTGAAGATTGTAAAGGGAATTGATAGTGTTTATGCATCATTCTTTTCATACTTAACAGTGAGAATGTAGAGCTAGGGGACACAAATATAAATTTTGGTAAGATAGGAGTCAGCTTCAACTGAGTTTTTTTTTTTTTTGACAGGGTGGTTGGCCTTTGGAATGGGTTGCCTTCAGATGTTGTGGAGGCAATAAATTTAAGTGACTTTAAATGAAAGCTTGATAAGTGTATGAATGATAAGGGCTGGCTTTAATTATTTTTTTTTATTTTAATTTAGTTTAGTTTAAAGGATAGAACAACCGAGATTGACCAATAAGTACCATGTTGTCCCAAAATGTTATGTTACATAGGGATTGTAAAAATAGTAAGGAAACAAGGCTGGAGTTACTGTAGACATTATTTGATATTTTCTCCATTTTAAAACATTCAGTCAAAATCTTAAGTTCTTTGCCCATCATTACAATCAAATCATTCTCACTCTCCACAACCTTGTTATTTCTCCCACAAAATAAAAATAATGTCCTTTGATATGTCTTTGATATTATTCACAATTAAGCTATTCAGAATATTTGCCTACAGAAATCAAATTTTATGTCACAACAAGTCATGGTTAAACAATGTTTATTGTTACCCATGAGCAATTATTACATATTTGCAAGTACGCCATATTTTTCTAAATAATTTGCTGCAACTGTTTAACTAAAGAATTAGCACCATCTACTATTTTTGGTAAGTAAGTTTTTTTTTTTTTTTTTACATTTAACAAAATAAGCAGAAAATATTTGATGATTGCCAATATTCGTGTCAAATCATCTAGATCCATTGTGGTCTCTTCTCCATTCCTTTGGTATTCTGTAAAAGTCAAGACATGAACATGTTACTTGTCTGTTTGTGCACCAGAAGACAACAATATTTAATCATGTTTGTAAACACACATATCTTGTCACTAAGACAATCAAAAGATTAAGGTTAATTTAATGCCAATTAACATGGCAGAAAGCAACTGTTGTTAGATGATGCACCAATCAACAAAATCTACCTACAGTGGCTTCTTGTACTGTCAATAGGTAAGTATAATAATAATGAACAAACATTTTATCCATTACATCTCTTTAATTAGAGAATGTTTGTTTCATAAGCTTGTTTCTGCTGTAGTTTTGCTCTGTTAAGCAATTGATATATTTCAATGTATCAATAATTCTGATTAGCTAGACAATCAACATCATTTTGTTCCTGCAGCTGACTCTTGGAACATAGAAATTGTTTTGCAAAATACATTTTTTATTTTACTACTTTACATGACATAAATCTGATTATATTTTATCTCTGATATTTAACAAAATGCCATTATCACACGTGGAACTGTTTTAATATTGTGATCTCACAAGTCTATCTCTCAGTCCACATCAGTGCCATTTCATTTACAGCATACTGGTTGTTTGTACAGAGAGTATTAAAATGAACCTTGTATCCAGAAACCAGTTTAGTGCAAAAAATACTGAAGTGGAAGTTTCAGGCAGAAATTATTTTACCAGTAAAACTGGGCAGTTAACTTGTTTAATCAAAGGTACTGTTAAATCGTGAAAATAATCACCTAATTAAACTTACTTGAATAAATAGAGTTGTTTAAATTATGAATTAAATTGTGACAAAATGCTACAAGTTCTTCAAATACCTAAAGAATGATAGGTTTTCTTTTTGTGAGTGTAAAACACTTAAATACACCAGTTCAATAATTAAACTTACTGTTTTCAATTATTCCATGTACTCAAAAAACTGCCATTACAATTTCTCATTATTTTCGATTAATTGATGTTGTTTGGCTTCATCTATTAGCATCACAACTCATGACAATAATTAACTAATCAAAACCACTGTTTTCAATTGTTACTATTTTTAATTATTCCAACCACAAAAGCCTCATGTGAGAATAACTGAACGTAATAATTTAATGAGTCTTATGATTAATTGGTTAGCAACTTGCATATGGATTCAGAAATAATGATATTTTGGTTACAAATTGTAAAAAACCTAATTTTGAAAGGATATGACACGAATTATCTGTTATGAATAGGGCAATTGTGTTACTTGGAGACACTGATTCAATGTGGGATGTTTTTAAATATTTAATATAAATGTATTTTTTTATAGAAAGAAAAGGGTGACTGCAAGTAGAAAACCATGTTGGCTCACAAAGGGTATAGGGGATAAAATTAAAGAAAAGCATCACAAATTTAAGAAATTTAAAAAATTATAAAATATCAAGAGAGTTTTAATGGTTGGAGACGGCTTGAATGGGTAATGAAGAAAAACTTTAATATGAGTTTAACGTAACATCAAATGTACAACGTCTCAACAAGGTTTGGTCATCATCAGTTACCTGATGATGACAAAAGTTCTTGAATAGTGGGCAGATGCCAGAAGATTGGAAGTTGGCTCTTCTTTCCAAAGAGGTGATAAAAATTATCTCGGTATTTTATAGGCATATTAGTTTTACAACAGTTGTGGAAAATGTTTTGGAGAGTCTGATAAAAGATGCTTTGCAATATCATATAAAAAGTTTAGAATTTTATTACATATAGCAAAATCTAAATGAAGAGGTTAAAATTTTTTCATGCAGGTGCTTGTTTTTTAAACTTGTAGACTTTGGTCACAAAATATGTCCCATCTGTAACACTTAAAATGTTTACGGCACAAATGATGAGACTCTCAATATATTAATGTAAATACATTATATTTGGTCAAGAACATTACATTAAAATATTTTTCAGCAACTAACTGAGTAGACAAGTTCTTATGCGAATTTTTATTCCCAAAAAAACCATGGTCCAAAATGTTACCCCTTCCATAATGCATCTTTGAATAATCATATTGTTTTCAAGTAGCTTTGGCTCTGATTTTATACACGCTATATTTCATCCCCATGAATATCCAGATATCTTACTGTGTCATAATTATTTCTGGAATTATTTACCCCATTACTGAAGGTAATACAAAAACAACATAAATCAACATAATAATTGTTCTTTTTCAATTGTCCCTTCCCCAAATAAAAGTTCATACTTATACCTCATAATTGAGTCTGTAATAATAATAATTTCAAATTAAATGTCTGTTAAATTCATCAATGACAATATAAAGAAATAACTTTTGGTTTTCACAGAGAAACTACACATTGCATGAAAATATGGCTTATTTTGTAGGAAAAACACTTTCACCAAACTCTGAACATCATTTACTCATATTTTAGTATTCTGTGCCAACTCGGGTTAAAAATTTTATTTTTGTTGCCAATTTGGTTCCCATGTTTGAACTTTTCTTGACACATGGTCAAGAGGAATGCCATTATTACAAATCTGTATACAGATAAAAATATAAAGTAAATTACTTTCCATTGAAGCGACAAACTTACTTAAAACATCCCATAATAATGTTTGTTTGAGAAATCAGAAACTTTTATCTCAGTGATTGATTAAATGTTAGGTCTATACAACACCCATTTTCCCATATTAAACCTCTGTTGTTGTTGTTTTGAGAAAGTAAAATCAGGCACAGTTATGTAACTACAAGTTTCTTAATTTTACCTAATACCATAAATGTGATAAAATATAGAGCATTTTTATAATAAATATGGTAAATAGCCAAGCTTACACTGTCTTGGCCAATAAACTGGACATTCTGACACAAGCTTGTGACCTAAGATGATAACATAATTTTATTGGCTGGTTTGGTGAACTGGATATTTTGACAATAAATTGTGATCCAGGATTCTGACAATGGATCTTTATTTTGGGGCAATGCCCTAATTTTACTAGCTGGCCCAGGTTACTGGACATTCTGACAGTGGATTGTGACCTAAGACAAAGACTAAATTTTAGCATCAAGAATACAACACCTATAATAAATATTGTTACTATCAAGTAGTTGTATTTGCACAGGGCTGTATCCAGTGCTGAAAGAGTGAGGAGGCAAACTCTCAAAGGGGCCTCTTACTCCAAATGAATTTTTGTCACATAAAGGCCCCCCCTTTACACAGAAAAAGTATTACAGCAGAACATTGCATAACTATAAAATTTTATTTTGAGGATAAGGTATAAAGTGGGCCCCTTTTACCCCTTTTTAGTGGGGCCCCCAGCTGGGGGGCTGTCTCTACAGAACTGGGGAGATGCACACACCAATTTTTAAATAATTCATAATGCACAGAGCAATTAAAAAAACTGATTGGGGCCCTTTTGTTGACTTATTTGGGTTGCTTTCCTATTGATGACATTTTGTTTGTTTCCAATGTTACAATTTTCCTTATAGGGGGCCCCCAGTTTTTGGGAAAAAGCAAGGAAGCTATTGCTTTTTCTGCATCAGTCTGGCTACAGCCCTGTTTGTAGCTATATATACACTTTTTACATTGTGACTTAACATTAATCCAACATATTACAGATTAGGTAAATTTTAATTTACATACAGTATCAGGGCACATGTTGGGCCTTTCCATCTCTAATGAAATTCACAGGTATGGGAGCCACAGTGTATTCTAGGAATATAATATATAGTTTTTCTATAATAATAAATAAAGGCTCACAAAGCAATGGGCTATTCATTTTTTTACTGTACTGTACTACTACTAGGAACATTATAGCTCTGTTACATCAAGAAGAGAAAAATGGATATTTTTCCTTACCACTAAATCCTATGAGTATAGTTTTTGGGTTTCAGCAATCATGCTTTAAACAGATAAACATAAATATGGTTTGTTAGACACACTGGACAAGATCTGGATGTAAACAAAAATGTATAATGTATTAATGAATAGCATGAAACCTCTGGTAACTTTTTCAAAACAAAGAGTTAAAGTACTATTAAAAGTTTTGAAAAACTTTTCCAAAATGTTCTTTCAATGAAGAAGAACACAAGTTGGTATTTTTTCGACATATTTATATGCTACAGATTTCTCAATTTAAAAAACTTACTTTAAGGTTATGACAATAACACATAGTTGAAAAGACACAATTCTCATCTTACACCATCTTGTCAATATTACAATCACTAGATGGCAGGGAATTAAAAAAGAAAAGGTTGTTTTTCCTTCTCTGGAACACTTTACATAATAACTAATAATAAATATTTAAGTTTAACGCCATAGGTTTTTCATATTACAAGCATAAGGTCCATGTAAAGTTTTAATTTACCCATTATTTTTGAAAAAAAAGTACAAATACTCAACTACAATTCTTTAATAACAAAAATGAAGATGGTTGACAAAACACAAAACATTTTATTTACAAGGTTCAAATGTTTCCGAATACACTTATTCTATCTACATTGAAACCTAAAGATAATGTATATGTTATGTCAGGTTTAAGTTCTTCTGAATATTTGTGAGGTTAGGTTAGGCTAAGCTACCTTTGGTTATGCAAGCTTATGTTTATGTTCTTCAAAAGCTTCTCAGTAGAGGGAGAATCCAGAATGCACCAAAACACACAGTAGTCTAAAAACATAAAATAGCACTTTAACTTTTCAGTTCCTGAAACACGGCTCTTTTTATCTTTGATGCATTTCCCATTTTATTTCTAGTGTGTAAGACCTGCTCATTTTATTACTAATAATGTTTTTCTTTTAATTTTCAAAAAGTTGCAATTAATTTTATGTTAACATTGTTTTTCAGTAACTGGTAATAAGTATTAGCAATCTTTCCTCTTCACATAATAGTGATAAATATTATGTTACACTTCATTCTTCAAGAGATAGTAAACAGTACTGTTTCACCACTCTTCTTTTGTGAAGGATAATAAAAACTGTCACCCTTCTTAATTGAACGTAAGACACTACCATATCACCATTTTTATACAAACCTAATAATAAAAACTGTGTCACCCTTCTTAATTGAGTGTAAGACAGTATCCTGTCACCGTTCTTTTACAAACCTAATAATAAAAACTGTCACCCTTCTTAATTGAATGTAAGACAGTATCCTGTCACCGTTCTTTTTCAAACCTAATAATAAAAACTGTCACCCTTCTTAATTGAATGTAAGACAGTATCCTATCATAATTCTTCTACAAACCTAGTAATAAAAACTGTCACCCTTCTTAATTAGATGCCAAACCATATAATGTTATCATTCTTCTGCAAAGCTAGTTGTTCAGAAACTGAATTCTGCTCTTCATTATATACAAAATGTCATCTTAAATTATTTTTTACCAATACTTATTCTGAATTTTTTAAGGTTAGGTCATATTAGATTTGGATAAGTTAGATTAGGTTAGGCTGAGCTACATTTGGTTATGTGAGCTGGTATTTTTCAGTAGAGGGAGAGTCCAGAATGCATTTGAAAACATGGTAGTCCAAGAAATAAAGTATTTAAAAAAAAAAGTAAAATCCACTACAAACACTAAAGATTAACTCACTCATAATGAAATGTCATCACATGGCAACAGTAATCTTTATGGCTTACTAGCTCCAGGTCTACAAGAAAGATCTATTAAAAATAAAATAATCATTACTTAATGTTTTTACATGTATAAAGAAACTGGTATGGAAACATTTATAAATCTATCATTTGTTTAAAATGTCAGGTTAGTTGGACTGATTTTTAATCACTTTATCTTTATTCCTTTTATTCTCCTGAAGAAGAATAGTGAACTATTCTAAAGTGCTCGAGTTTTAGGTCTCGTTTGAAAACAATTACAACTTTTGTATGTAATTCTATGTGCTAACTTCTTAACCAGAATTCATTCCCGTACCTATATTCTAGTGACAGATACTTTATTTATTGAATGAAAAGATTGTTTTAATATACACTGTAAAATTTGCTGCCATCCATTGTTGAAGAAATTATCGAAAATGAAAATAGTGTGGGATATTGAACAGAAATAAAGTATACAATTAATGGTTAAAATAAGGACTACAGTGAGGAATGAAACCATAAATTGCATTTTAACATTTCAGATTCACATGTTGAAATAAGGCTCTGTAACGACAGCGGAAGTCACGTGACTCTGGTAACACGTGATTAGTGTCTAGAAGATTCGCGAAGACGCTAGTGCGTTCTACGCGCGCGTTTTAGATTGTATATAAGTGCGCCAGACAAAGGAGATGATCGTTGGGAACTGGAGTAGCAGAGAGCGAGACTGAAGTTATAGACACTGATAACCACGGTATGTAAAGTGCGTGAATAGTTCGTTGTGAATTATAGCATGTGTTTAAGTTAGTGACTGTGGAAAATAAGTGTATTGTAAAGTTGAATTGAGAAAGAATAAACTAGTTTTATTTAAGAAAGGACTTGTATCGCAGAAGTTTCTAGGAAAGAATTTCTACGAAAAATTAACAAACGAACACAGACATAGCAGATTGGTGTCAGAGAGTGGAACGGAAAAAAAAAGGAAGAAGAAGATGGAAACGAGTAGTGGCAAATCAAACTACAGCTTAGCAAATTTGATGGCAGCAATACAAGAAGAGAAACAACAGCGGTTGCAAGAAAGCCTGCAACAGTGGCAGCTCGAACAGCAAAATAAACAAGAGAAATTATAGCAGCTGTTGGAGAAAAAAGAAATAAACAAGAAAAGAGATTACAGCACTGGTTGGAGGGAAAGAAAATGAACAAAAAGAGAGACTACAGCAGTGGATGGAGGAG